AGCTTGAGGTGGAGAGCAGATCAGGTTTGCCCATGACCCGAGGTGCGGACCTGTTGAACCTTTAGTCCTTTTCTTGTACCTAGAGGTGTAGTTTATTTAGTAAGTATTAAATATAGAGTCTGCTCTAGCCATTGGGGTTCCAGGTAAATTGGCGGAGATGGCAGTGGTCTGGCTGGTTATGTCAAGGCTGAGTTCAGCTCTGAGGCCCAGGCCTGGCTCCTCACCCACCTGTCTACTGTCTTCATCGGCTTACCGTCATAGCCCTACCCGGAAAGGTCTCACCTGGAACAGTGATTGACTGGCCTTGCTTGGCCTTAGGTGTTTAATCCGTGCTTGCTTCTTCCTGGGTGGAGAAGGCTGGTCTGGCAGGATGCTTTCCCAGAGCAGGGATGTGCTTGAGAGCCACCAGGCTGTTACTGAGTCCTCTGTAAGCTCTGGGAGGGGGACAAAGTCCAGGGATTTCTGCAAGTTGGTGAGGAATTAGAGACACAGAAGAGGTCCCATCTTATCCTCCATCTGCAGCAGGAAGGATGAAGGCCCCTTCTATAGCCAAAGTCCCCTTGTGTTGTTAAAGTCTCCCCAGGGCCAGGGTTCCATTTGTGGTTGCAACCTGGTCAGTACACTTGTCCTGGGGAGCATTTATTCACCCCCTGGCCAGCCCTGCTTAGAGACCCAGACCACCCCCATGTCAGCCACCCCTTGGACTCTTGCTCGAGTAGGCCTTTCCTGCTTGGGATGTCCGTCCATCTTCACCCTTGGAGAGCCAGGGTGAGGGGAACATGTGCCCTACCTCCAGCCCTGGTCTGCATTCTCACCCAGGGGCCATAGAGAGTGTGCCCGACTACATGGAAGTAATGCAGATGGGTCTGAGATGGAAGTCACCTGCAGAGCTTTTTTCTGGGTTCATCCAGTAGGGAAGAAATGGGGAGGGGTTGTAACCTCACACTCAGCCTCTCTGAAGGGATGGGGCTGCTGGGGGGACAGACAACGATCTGATTGTGCCCTAGGCATGCCTTCCGGGTTCCCATCACTGCATGCTGTCAGACTTGCTCTGAATGTGGGGATCTGGACTTCTAAAGCGCCTGCCTGGAAGGGACGATAGTGGGACACCCCTTTTCCAGAGGAAGAATGCACTGTGGGTGTGCCTGAGTGGTCCAGCTCACATCCTATCCTGTCTTTAGCCTCTGTGGGAGGCAGGGCAAATATCTTGACTACCGGTTGGTTTTTGGTACAAACCTTTCTACTCACCCCCTACCATGTAATGATGGGTCTCAAATCTTGAGGCCACAGTGGCTAGGGCATGGGTCAGTGTGACAGAGAAATGCCAGATTACCAGGTGGTGTCTGTGTGAAGGGAACAGACCTGTCATCTCTCCCAGAACTGTCTCTAGAACAGGTCCCTTCCTGTCCTTGGATACTCATGGTGTCAGAGTTACCCTGGCTGTGGTCAGTGGCTTTGGATTTAGGAGATGGGTCCCTTTCTGCTGGTGTGACTAGACTAGTGGGATCCTCTTGGAGGTGGTGAGGCAGGGTTCCCTGGCTCTCAAAGGGACTGTGAGGTCAAAAGGACATGGGTAGGGAGTGGGGATGCCAAGACCTGCCAGTTTGGGACCCTCCTGGGGCTTCCCAGCAGAAGGGGTGGGTAAGAGGCTTCATAGGCTCTGCAATGTCTTGGAAGTGGCAAAGGCTGTTGTTGCTGCTACCTGTGAGCAGCTGCCCACAGCTGGGCTCTCTGCTGGCACCAGGGAGCCCTTGGAGGGAGAAGGAAGAAAGCTAATAGGGTATAACAGATGCTCAGCATACCAGCCCGGGGTAGTAGGCTTTCCAAAGCCCTAAGAGATTCAGATTAGCCTAAGAAAAGAAGTTCCGGAAGTAAGATTTGCAAATACAAAAAGTGTATTTGCAAATACAAAAAGCAAGGGTTGGGCCACTGGGCTCTGTGAGGTCCTGGTTCTGCCGTAGTAACCACTAACCAGGAAGTCAGACGCAGGTGAAAACTGGTGGCTCTCCAAAGGGAGGAAACAAGGTCCCACCACTAGAAATAGGCGACATTGTGAGGGGGAGGGGGCGGGGGGCTGCAGGAGAAAAGGAGCCTGCCTGGTGACTAGGGGGACTAGATTATAGTGGAAATTTCCCCTGGCTTGGAACAGGGCATGAATCTGCAACTGGAGGGCTGGTGGAGTGCCAAGCAGGGTTGCTTTAAAGACACAGGCACACCCTTGGCATCCCCTGGTGGCATTCCTAAAACCCACACGTAAATCTCTTGAGGTGTCCTGATAGAAGAGTGAGCAGCAGGTTTCTCACCTGCAGCACTGGACGTAGCCCAGCAGACCCCAAGAGGAGAGGAGCCGTGGGGAAGTGGCAGTGATGGGGGCCTGGATGGGCGAGAGGTGCCTCACTTGTTTTCCTGTGTGAAGACTGGAGTGTTACTAGAAAGTGTTTTACTGAACTCTAAGTGCTGAACACTAAAAGAGAAGATCAAAAGAAATCCAGGTAGCACACTTGCAGAGGCAGGCTGGTTGGTCTCTAAGAGTTTGAAGCCAGCCTGGTCTATATATATAGGGAGATCCAGGCCAGCCAAGTCACATAGTGAGACCCTGTCTCAAAAAGAGAAAAAGAAATATTGTAGATTTTGTTGTTGTTGTTTTAGGACAGAACATTACAGAAGGATGCAAGGCACAGTTTGGGAGCAGATGTCACCCTTTAGTGTCTCCTGGCAGGGTCTGTGGCCCTCCCTGACAGGACCAGCAGAGATGAGTGGTTAGGAGGCAGGCCCAGAGCTCAGCTGGGGCTCCATCCAGTGACATCACTCACTGGCCATGCACCATAGATGTACTGCTGTGGGCTTCTCGGTTCTGGTTTCCTCGTTTGTAGAATGAGTTAACCAGCCTCTGGAGTGGGAGGGTCAGGATCAGCATGAACCCAGGACAATGACCAGCAGTTTGTACTGTTCTTGTTCATTGCCCAACATTAACCACTGCAGTTAGACATAAAGTAAGCAAGCAAAGGGAACTCCTTTCCTTCTGCATTGCTAAGGGAGGAGCCGAGGACCTCAATGAGCAAGCGCTCCACCACTGGCTATAGGCCAGCCCCAAAGAGGCTCTTTAGCAGATGTTTCCTAGAGAAGGAAACCTCGCTGACTTCTGTTGCTTCTGAGAAACCGGGTCATTGGGCTGCAAGGGGTGTGGGGATGCAGAGGAGTCATACCCACAGGCCACTCTGAGGAATGTGCTTAAGCCTTTGAGGAGAAGTGAACCTTGGTGTTGAGGGTGGGGTCTCTGGCAGGCCTTTAAGTAATAAATGTACTGAACATGACTCAGAGTAGTGTGGCACTTGAGAGGTGTCAGCCAGCAGGCAGCAGGTCCTCAGGTAGTATTTCCTGGGGGTTCCTAATCTCCAGGCCAGCCTGGAGTGTGTGTGTGGTGGGGGAGTAGGGGAAGGACAATGCTAAGTGCCTTTCAGGTGAGAGGAATAAGGCCAAGACAATGAGTCCTTTGTGAGCATGCCTGGAGATAAATAACAGAAGGAAAATTCAAGTCCTGGTAGCAGGTTTACCTCCAACTCCAACATCTCCGGTTCAAATCCCAGTACAGACTAACCTCTGACTCCAACATCTCCGGTTCAAATCCCAGTACAGGCTAACCTCTGACTCCAACATCTCTGGTTCAAATCCCAGTACAGGCTAACCTCTGACTCCAACATCCCTGGTTCAAATCCCAGTACAGGCTAACCTCTGACTCCAACATCCCTGGTTCAGATCCCAGTACAGGCTAACCT